CACGAGATCCGCGGGTTGAATCTTCCCTCACAGGAAGCTGTGATTGAGGAGGCCTGGAAGGTGTCTCCCGTCACGGGCTTCATGACAGCAAAAAGACGAGCAGCGTCCTTACTTTGCCGTTGCCATCTTTGAATTCCATATCATATATGCTTGTTGGGGACGCATCGACTGGTGCCAGACCGTGATGCCCTTGAAAGACGAGTTTCACCCGTGGATGTGAAGGAAGGAAGGCAATGAAGCAGGCAAGCTTGAAGACGAGCATCTTCGCCACATTCTGATTCTGTCGCCAATTCGTAATCGCTGCCAGCGCGGCCGTAAATAAGCGGGTAAATAATTCCACTGCTGGCTCCATGGCGGCGGCGGTGGCAGACGTGGTATAGTTGAAAGGTGGTAGGAAGCGAAATGAGAATGATTTATTAACAGTGAGCTAATGACACGTGCTAACAAGTGGTTATTGAGACAAGCGCCTTCGCGACATGACAGTTTCTGATGGTCGAGAGTTCGACGAAGGTCCGTTTGTTTAAGATTTTGTTCAGTGGCAGTCCAACAACACGTCTACATGCTATTCTTCTGAAGCTGGATGTGTTACGACCTTCGTAGCACTTAGGGCGCCTGCCGGTGAACGAGGAATGTTTGCGAAATTTTGCGAAGCTACGCAGGCGACGGGCGGGCCCCGCACTGGGTACGGATGGAGCACTGGAAGTCCAGCCATGAAATACCAACAGGATAGCTCTTCGAGATTTTTCTTTTAAACAAATTCTATTACTCAGAACAAATGATGCGGATACATGCCGCATAATCCATGGGATGCCATAAGTAGGTCTCCGATCATTACCCTGCTGGCAAGAAGTCACCTTTCATATTACACGAATATTATGTACAAATATAGGATTGAAGTGCACTGCAGAAGGGCAGCAGAGTTTATTTGACATGTTGCACATGCAATGTCATCTGGGCCAGAGGCATTACAGCAAAGATTTGGCATAATGGTCTGTGTTTGCAAAATGGTTATGCAAGCATAGAAAGCATTATTGCTAATCGGGTGAGCCGTATCAGATCTAAGTACGTTCCCCGAACAAACGGGATGCGCAATCGACGTTAGACTTTCAGAACCGAGCGAAAAGACAGAAATCCCTGCTCCGAATATTAACGCTTACAGTCCATCATCCTTACTTAGCGTTCCATGCACCGCGGAGCTAACTCTTCATCCGTTTCCTTCCTTACAATGCACATCCGTCAGGGCCAGAGTCTTTGTGGCAATCTTTCATATTCAGCACGCAATGAACCCTTCATGGACACCAGCTGCATTAGCCTGGCTTGTCGTCCTCGCGGCAGCCTGGGCAAATGGCCCAACGCGATTTAAGTATGCTGCTGCTTGCGGCCAAGAAACAAGCATTCCAAAACTGTCATATCATCCCCTGGTTTCGTTGT